CCTAGTTTCTCCGCAATATCTTTTCGTATGAAAGATCTCTGAGCACCAGTATCAAATAATCCAGGAACGATTCCGAACTTGTCACTATTGATGATTTTCACCAATACAGTTAACAATAACGGAGACTTGTTTGGTGACAAAAGAACCTGAACATCTGATTCAAATTGTTTGTCTTGTTTTGATTGATTTATATTTGGACACATAATGCTATGGTGTTTTTTATTGCATATAATACACTTTAAATAAGCTTTGCAGATCTTAAAATTGTGTCCTGGTTTCAAACAGACGAAACAAGCTCCCCTTTTCTTCAATGTTTCCCTTTTCGCCTCCAATGACATCTCAGCAGCCTTAAAACATTTTGAGGTATTATGAAATGACTTATTACAAAATAAACAACGTTTGTCATTTTTCTCAGCTCTTTGCTTTTCATTAGATACAATACAAGCTGCAGTAGGAATTTTTTCTTTCGTTTTAAATTTTTCAAATTGATCATTCGCAAACCCTGATCGAGCAAGTTGTAATCGCTCTTCACTTTCGACTTCCAAACGAAGAAATTCTAATAAATTTCCTAACATGTTCATCTTGTCTTTATTTTCTACACGGTTATGTGTACGTTCCCACTCCTTGATAAGAGCTTCTGGCAGAGCTGATTCTACTAGGTAACGTCTGAAACAGGTAACGTAAACTGGGTAAGGTCTGAAAAATATGAAGCAATATAACATTGCTTCATATTTTTCAGACGTTACCCTTAAAGTCTCTAATGCTCGCAGCTGAGTCTCCAATTTATCATAAAGAATCCGCAAAGTAAAAATTTCGCCACTTCTCGCTTGCGTTAAAACTAGATTTTTAAAAGTTCACGAACATAAATTTGAATTAATAGTTCATCTTTAGCAAAACGAGATTTCAGCTGTTCCATAGCATTGTAATAGTTTTCACCAAATGGTGAAAAAACTTGCAATTAAATCTCTAGCCGATGAACCTTCTTCAGTTGCTTGTAAAAGATACTGAAATTTATCATCTGCATCAATGCTATCATCATCATGAATCTTTTTAAATTGTCCCCAGAATCCTAGCCAGTTTTTAATATTACCATCAAAACGTTTCAATTCTAACTTAGGAAGACAGAAATTTCGCTTGGTTTCATTTACTACACTGGAAATATCGCCCTTTCTTTCGGTGGTTGATAACATTAAATCAACTTTCGTTTTCATAGCAACCCACTGATTTTGATAGCTTTCCGTTAACTCCATATCATTAGAAAATTCATCTTCATTAAAATTTTCCATTTCTAGCCATTTTACTTACTTTTTTATCTAACTGAAACAATCTGTCAGCTTTATCATTAAATATGTTAAACACAGATATCAAATCCATCTTACTTACTGCTTCATCTTTTAGAACAGTGTCCACTTCTTTCAAAGAAGTTGTGAAATATCGCCGTGATTGTGTTCTTTCCCGTTTTAAATTATCCATAGTCATGTTCCACGGATGCCAATATTTTAAAGGATTCAAAAATAACTATGGTTGTTGTTAGTTAGTGTTGAACAAAAAGTGAAAGTCATAATGTTTTTTTGAAGAAAGGAAGAATTTGATGGCGATATAAATATGTTTTCATGCACACTTTGGCAAATGATGGGTTCCTTATAAACAGATCATTAACAGGCTGTAAATGCTCTGTTTGTCCAACTGGCTCTGTACTGGAGAAGAATTGATGGTGTCCGTAAAGTGTCTGAACACCTGAAAATAGAAACAGGTCTCCTTTTATGCACTCAATAATTCATGGAAAATGGAACCCACTCACAAATTGCAAAATATTATTCTTGATTTTCTGTACAAGATGTTTGGGTTAATCTTTGGATTATGGGAACATGGCGATTTTTTGGCGAAAATTTGGCGAAAAAAAATTTGGCGACCTACAGCACCTGCTAGTTTTGTTTGGACAACCATTTTTTGTTTTTTTCACGAAAAGTAAAGGCATTTTTTTTTTTTTTTTCCCTTTTACTCAACATTTTTTTCCAACAATCTGCTAGCCGAATTATGCTTATGCGAGAACTTTTATAGAACAAACGTGCTTAATCATGACAAAGATTTGGTGCGAAACTAGGAGAAAGTGCAGAATCGCAAACTGCTTGCTGCGTTTTTAAGAATTGCACATACACGGTATCATCCATGTATACGTCGACCTATTTTCACTTAAAAAAAATATCCCAGAATTGCACAAAAATGGCATTGCGCACACTCGACTTTATCCATGTACACTGCTAAAGTCCTAGCTAGCAACCTTTATTACCATACCAAAATGTCGCCAAACTACCTGTTACCATATTCCAAAGATTAGCCGATGTTTGATGCGATTGTAATGTTATATCGGGTTCTTGAATGTTATGAAGATGAGAGATAGTGACTCCAACATTGACTATTAATCCAAGAGATTTCTTTTAATGATAAGGTACTGATAAGAAAACTTGCAAATGTAGTGCAATTTCAAAGCTCTTATCGTGCAACTATGCCAAACTGTTTCGAAAGATGCATGCCAATAAGTTTTGACATAGGCAAAGGTCTGAAAAAGACTTTGAAATAAAATGGTGGATATGGCCTTTAATATCTTTTTCATTATACTCATACATTTCCATTCTCAGATTTGTATTATTTTGATTGCATCTACTAGATTAGCCATGAAATTATTACATATTATATTTTTTAACTTACAATTACATAATATATTTTGATTATTTTACCCATAAGGATTAAAAGAACTAAATGTTTTATTTGTTATTGGTTTATGACCAAGATGTTAGCTATTTATTATGGACACATTGTAAAATTTATTGCTTTAAAATTTGTCAGGTGAATTATATATCACAGAAGTGACAACTAGATGTAATTATTTTACTAAAAAATATATTACAAAATATAATTCAGCACTTCAAACTATTAATAAAATGTATTAGAAAGTCCTCCTTAAAAATCCTCCTTTAGACAGACACCCTTCACATGCTTTGTCTTTAGCCCTCCCCCCCCAAAAAAAAACTAAGAGAAAAACTGATCACTCTGATTATCTGGTGACCTAGTCCTAAGCAATTAATGCTAATTAGGAATTAATGTTAATTGTCACATAGAATCATTTAGACCTGAAAACATCTGCAGGTAAATTAAAAGAAGTTCCAATAAATATAATCAAATGTAAATTAAAACTTAATAATCATATGCCAACAGATAAAAGTCACATATTTAAATCAGAATAAAGTCTTCAGCATATCATTAATGCCCAAAATTATATGTATTAAAAAATTAAATAGATATCATTTTATAACTTCAAAACATATTAAAGATAAATTAAATAGATTTACTATGCTAATTATGCACTATATTAACTGAAATTACTAATTATAAAATAAATATATATGCATAATTATTAATGTCTTGCAATACATTAGATTAAAATTTTTAACCAAGCATTTTTAAGAAGAAATTTTAAGTCAAAGTTTTAAAAGTCAGAAATGACCAAAATCATTAATGAAATATGCAAAAAGTTCTTTCAAATGATAATATCAATAACTGTTTTTAAAACTTAATTTATGAAACTAAAAACAAACAAATCACATTCAATCAAAGATTTTTTACAATTTTTGGATAACAAAATATTTAAAAATAAAATAATAAAGGACATATAAAAAACATCAAATGCAAATTTAAAGAAGATAAGCTTATGTACACAACAGAAAAGTGAAAGAAAGAAAAGAAAAAGGGGAGAGAACTAGATATTCAGATTACAAGTTTCTTTCAAATCACCCTTAATAATACAAGATTTTAAAGCATAAAAGTGAGATACATTGCATCAGAACAACATATGCATTTACTTCAAATAAGAATACTCTTCAAACAAACAAAAATCAAGTCAAATGGTTTATTTTCTACATATGTTGATTACAATTTAAAACAAATAAAAAACTTCACAAACATAGTAAATGTAATATATGTAAATAAATCTAATTTAAATATACAGCTTAAACTAGGAGAGCTATTAATTAAATGAAGAACTTATTTTTTTCATATGCCATTTAAAGATAATTCAGTCATGTTAAAGCAGAAGTGCTCATCTAAAACTTTAATTAAAAAAAAACCTTTCTTTTTTTTATTTGAAGTTTGTTTACTAAAAAACAGCTGCTATCCGTAATTTTAGAGGCGATCGATTACTTTACATATCAAATTTCTACACGGTAATTAAATACAGAGTTTTTGTTTACCCCATTTAGTACTTTTAACATTTTATGAATTTTAAATTCTCAACTAAACCAACGGACAAAAAAAAAAAAAAAAAAAAAAAAAAAAAAAAAAAAATTTTAAAACTGCAGATCGACGTCAATCCTCAAAAGGTATAAAAGGCATTTACTTCAGCATTTTAAACTTGCATTCTGCAACTGAAATTTGCTGTCACATTAATAATGATGGATTAATAATATGGGAACTGCTGTCATCACGCTATTTCTATAGATATGCACAGTTTCATGCCTTTAAAAAGAGAAAGGTTATGTATGAACAGTAGACGACATCGGAAAAAGAAAAAAGCTTCATCAAACAATTTTATTGAACAATTAAAATTAAAAAGGAAATATCTAGAAAGACACAAATTAAAACGACAATTGTGTTGAAAAAAAATGAATTGTACACTTGTTTCGATGTGCACAATTCATTTTTTAAAATTATATTTTGTATATTTGGAAATTCCGATTGCTACAGAAATATTAAGTTGTATATAAATATCTTTGACAGGAACCTCAGGCATAACCAAAGAACGCGATCTGAGCTAATTCGATAAATATTACTGCATCATGCTATTTTATTTTTAAAACTACATAGTGCAGTAATTCGAAAAATTTCCACTTGAAAATTTTGGATATAAATAATATGTATTCAAAAACATAACACTGTGACAAGATGCTATAAAAAATTGGCTCACATGTATTATAAGGACCTAATGCATTTAAACATTCACTTACGTTTAGTTCTTCCAACTTAATGGAAAATAAATATAATGTAATAAAATTCAAGTTGTTATAAAAGCTGCCTTCCTCCATGAAGTCGAATTGATGAACATCAACATTAAGAGCATCCAAAAATTAGTTCCAAGGTCGTTCAGTTCGTATACAACAAATACAATTTTAGTAACGAATATTACACTGGCTTGAGAAATATCTATGCATGCAAATATGCAATGGTTGTGTAAATATTTTTTCGCATCGAAACAAGTGTATAATTCATTATTTCACTCTCTCGAAATATGCACATGACGTCATAAAATAATTCCCCCTCATCCTGCGGTAAATTCTGAAATGCAGTTAACTTTTTTTAATATTGGTATAAACAGCTGTCATATTTTAAATGTGCTTCAGAAACAACTCTGAAATCGTTTTTCAATCATGAAATCAATTTTATAATCCGCAAAATTGAATAGTTCGATTAATTTTAGTGTTCTATGGGATCGTGTTTCTTTTACTTCATGGTAGATTACAGAGTTAGTATCACATTCAAAATATATGATTTTTAAAAGTTGTAATTATTTAATAAGGAATTTTACTTTATTATTCGTATAAAAATAATATCTTTTACATGAAATACAGACAAAAACAAAACTCAAGTAACGCTACATGAAGACATACATTTCCATCCTCAACTCAACATAAGTTGTTTATATTGGATATCACAGTTGTTCGTGTGTATTGCATGATGGGAATTTATGCTGTTATATTTTAGTTGTTATTTTCTAAATGACAGAACTTTTGGAACTTATTAGAAATTTTCATTGCACGTTAATCGCAAAACAAAAAATATCAATTAGTAAGTGCAAAACGTTATAATTTATATTCTTAAATTTTCATGTATGAATAGCGGGAAATGACGTATCATGGTGTGCTGACGGAGTCAAACAAATGCACGTGAGAGCACTTTCGTCGTATGCTATGAAATTATCGAATTGTAAATAATTTACTATAGCTTCAAAATTCAAGTTAAATGAAAAATTCGTTAAAATATGTAATTTAAAATTTTTTTGAAGATAATAATTTATGCAGTTTATTTTCCAAGTTTATTAGTATTGTACAGGAATAAGGGTAAAGCTAAATGATAAATTTTCCTACTTCCCTGTTCTCTTGTTTCTGATATTACATTCATACATAGTGTCTGGAAAAGGTATACTATTTCTCAGTATTTAATTTAACGAAATTCTTTCAATATTTTTTATAAATTACAAGATCACATTCGGACTCTTATCGAGTTCTGCTTATATCTTTTTTATTTCAAACGTGAGAACAGTTTATATTCATAAATAATATGAAAAAGTTCTTAGAAGAGTGTATATATTTGCAGAAATTTGAACATAACTTTTTTCCTCTAGCAGGAGGTGCATATCAGTTGAATTATGGAGCAGAATAAAAATGATGCTGTAACGATTGTTACTGCCCAAGATCATACATTTGAATTGAATGAAGATAATTTGATCTCCGTTCTCTTGAAACCGAACATCAGAGATAAAAAAGTTGTTGTTGTTTCAGTAGCTGGAGCTTTCCGTAAAGGGAAATCTTTTGTATTAAATTTCATGTTGAGATATTTGGAAGCAAAAGTAAGTTTTAACTTTTATATATATTAATACTTATATAAATACACAGATATAATATATTTGAATGCTTCTGGATGGAAGTCGACACAAATAAAAGCCGGAATTTGGGCAATCTGAAGCCTTTTTAACATTTCAGTGAATTAATAAAATGTATAATTTCTTAAAACATAATTCTCATAGCATTTGTTTGAAGCATTTTTATCAGTTTATGATCAACAATATTTACTTATATTTTTTTGGTAATGATTTAAATAGAAGCATAACTATAATGGTTATGTCAGATGTATGATTATAATTTATGTATCACATTTTCTGTAGATTATGAAATTAAGTGGCATAATTCTCCATTAATAAAAATTTTCATTGCATTGAATACTGTGAAAAATTTCGATTTAAACACTAAAACAATTATTATTCTGTTATATGTATTATGGGAAAAAATTATGAAATTACTCAGCTGTAAATATGTTTTTTATATTTATTCAAATTCATTAAACATAACCTCTTTTAAAAATTAAGAACATTTTTCTTAAAAATCTGTATTTGAAGAAAATTATTTATGAAAAGTGTTTTGGTGCACTTAACTGAGCATATAGTTTTTTTAAAGATTTAAATTAATCTAAACATAGTGTTATTTTCTTGATAATAATATCAAGCACTTAAAAAGAAACTAGTCTTATGAAGTGTCTATCTCCATAGCAGATTATTTTAAAGCAGTTCTTGCAATTTTTTAATAAGTATTCCTTCCATTGTATAGAGTTATAGACATGTATGTAAGGTTATAAATTTTAAGTTTTCTTCTGCCTTTTATAAATATGTGATGCATAACAGTCATTTGACTTAAAACTTGACTAATGAATAAGAACAGAATTTTAAACTGATCAATATTTTTTTTTTTAATTTGTTTTTGAGGGAGGGAGAGAGGTTGTATGTTTTATATTTTTGAAACTGAATGTAAATTTAAAGAGAACTAAAGGGAAATAGTAAAAATGAATAAAGTTTTAGGGAACAAAATCATGTAGAAGACAAGCATATGAAATTCATATGCCATTTAAGTTTTTACATTGTTTTGGATTTTAAAGATTAAAAAATAAAGCTGCTTGATGATTGTTAACAGTTTAAAAAGTATTGCTGCACCAAATCATCTGTGCTCTAAGTTAATAAAAATAAAATATATTTGTTGGTGGACTTTGAACTGATATAAAAATGGGGATTGAGAAAGAAATTCTATAAATAAATGCTTAGTTTAATTATCAGACAAATCTATAAACAAACATATAAGTTAAGTACCAACTTACTAGAATATATATATATATATATATGTATAATTTATTTACTAAAGAATATTGATTATATTATCTCCTAAGATTAATTTTAGTAGAATTATCTTAAAAGAGTGAATCCATACTTAGTAAGTTCAATTTCGAAAAATGCTTTAAAGTTACTTGATTGTAAATTGTTAAAAGTGTTTAACGGGGACTTGAATTAAATCATGAATGATGAAATTTCAATTGTAAAAAGAAATAAATTAAAAGCAAGTAATTAAATTAAAGGCAAGTAATCATTGCCATTGATCAGAAATTAGTTCACTTTTCAAGGGGAACAAACCAACTCCCGTTCAATGAACAATAATTATTCTGTAAATTTCAGTATTCAGTACTTAACCTTATATTTTAATCAGGTACTGCAGGTCACCAAATGTTAGATACAACAGTAAATGTTCACCATTTCGTCCATTCATAAACTCATTTCTACCCTAAATAATCTCTGTAAAAATTTAAACACAAAACAAGTTTATTCTACAAAAATATAACTTTTTACAACTGTTGCCGCTCAAAGGAAAACTAAAAAGAAAATAATACTACACTAGTTGAATGCTATACTTAACAAAAAGCTTATAGGACCTTCAGTTTCATTTTTAATCTGTAGGTGTATCTGATCATAAATTGAATTTAGCTTATTTTTACTTAAAATTTTTGAAAAGTTATTTTCTGAAAAGTGGATTAACTAAATATATTAATCATCTTGTAATGAAACAACTTTAAATATTGTATTTTAATTTCTTAAGGTCTGAATATCTGCATTTAAGTGTGTTTTATTAGAGAAAAAATTTGAAGTTTGTGATGAAAAAGGTGTAAATAGTTTTAATAAATTCTTTCTCCTTTAAAGCTCTTTCAAAGTCAAAATGCCTTTTAAAAGTATTTATATTTTATTAAATAGGGTAGCCCTGATTGGTTAGGAAAAGAAGATGAACCCTTAAAAGGCTTCTCATGGCGTGGTGGGTCAGAAAGAGATACTACAGGAATACTTCTGTGGAGTGAAGTTTTCAACATCACAATGCCAACGGGTGAAGAGGTATGATTTTTATTAATCACTTAAAGCTGCATTCAGACGTGGGCGTAAAGCGCATAGAGGCATAGTCATAAGCGCATAAAATACGGGACATCTGTTCACACCTGCGAGAAGGGGGTCTAAGCTGTGGCCAATGAGAGAAGCTAAATTTGCGCATACGTGGATGTATCTACACCTTTCGCGCGCTGTTTTTTAGCTCAGTTGATTTCTCGCACTCGCTCTGCTTGTTTTTGTTATTTTGTGTCATGGCTTTTTCAGCTCAGCACAAAGTTTTACTGGTTCAACAGAATGCTTTTATCTGCCCTTCTTGTAAGCCAAGAGGCAACGGAAGAAGGTTAAAAAAAGAAAAATAACGAAATGGTCTAGAGATATTTTTTTGGATATGGAATATTTCTGCATTGTACTGTAGTACTCTCTATACTATAAACATGCACATGCATATACTATATAAAACCTTCTTCAATTTTTATATATAATTTATCTTAGGAGAAATACGATAATCTAAATATGCATAATTAAAAAAAATCTTGAGGATAACTAACAGATAGCCTGTATATAATATTTTCCCATTTTGCAGGTGTGAAAGTAGTTAAGCTAAAAACAGTACTTACCATATATTATTATTATTATTATTATTATTTTAATTTTCAGTCAAAAGGAACATGTTTCTGTGACAGTGAAACATGTGTGCTTTGCACTCCTTATTCACTGTCCCTGTCGATCACTATAGTTAGTTTACCTGCACTACCAGTATCAATTATCACTAGTACTAGTATCCCACAACTGGTCACAATGACCAGCAACCACAACTAGTACAATACTAAAGGAAACGTTCACCCAACAATGTATTTTATGCTCAATCATTGAATACATTTTGCTGTCTTGCCAATTGTTTGTATACATCTATTTTTAATAATTTGCATTGTATAAGCCACAGCTCCTGAATTTAATTTCAACATATGCTGTAATTTCTATTTACGACCAAATCTCAAGACGTAATTTCACATTGACAAATTTTAGGTACCCAAGTCTTCAAATGCATCAAAATTTATAAACATTCATACCTTATCCAGGAATTTCTACCAGAGAAATAGCATGAATTTAATGATCAAAACTCCATTCAAATGATAGTAATAAAGAGTGGATAATAATAACAAATACTATTCATTAAATTATAGTCCATGTTATGAATTATGTGTGCTATTTAGTTTCATTAAAGTAAATTCCTTTCATAGAGAACGTAATTAAAAAACAGAACAGAACTTCAACAGGAAGCAAAACTATCTAGACTGTTGACTGTTGTTTTAAGGATATTTCATTACATTTTTTCTTTCTTGGAATTCATAAGAGCATTTTCGCAAAAGATTAATCTTTTATCACTTATACAAAGCTTACACCATTGAATTGACTATTGTGACTATTCTTAAATAAGTGAAAAAAAAATTTTTTTTAAAGTAATATTTTTACTGTTAAAAAAAAAAAAAAAAAAAAAAAAAAAAAAAAAAAAAAAAAAAAAGCAGATTCATGATATTGATTTGGTGTTTTAGTAAAATTAATTCGTGAAGGTTTGTTTGGAAAGAAAATCAGCATTTGAAGCAAATAGCAATACAATATTTCCAGCTTTTTTAATAAATTTATTCTTAAATACAAAAATAATTAAACAGGAAAAAATTATAGTAATAATTTTAAAAATAATTATAGACAGAAAGAAAGTAATAATAATAATTTACACAGAAAAAATAAAATTTATGCAAGCACGCATTTCTTAAAGAATTTTCATAATAAAATGAAAAATATTGGATGGTGTATATATATATATATTGAAAACTGTATAACTTATGTGTAGATTCAGTTGCTATATAAGATTAACAAATGGACTGTTTTAGGTCACGAAAAGGAAAGAAGGAAAGATCCTGCAAGCTACAAGATCATACACAGCTTGCATAATCCTGAGCTTAACTTTTGCTTTACAAGTTTCATCCATATTTTTCAATATAAATTGAAAAACTCATTAAAAAATGCATGTCATCATCATAGATTTCTTGCGAGATCAACTCTTTATTTCGTTCGGATACGATTACAATTCATTATTTGTTCGGATACGATTACAACTCATTCGGATACGATGTGTTCCATATTAAAAAAAACGTCGCCTTCGATGTGACAGCAAAATCGTCTAAAGAAAGCCGCTTTGTTTTAGCTTCGCTCTGATTGGTCGACGCTTATCCCAAACTCTGCGTAAAGTTGAAAACTTGGAACCCTATGCCATGAGCCCTAATCCAGATTCTGTGACGTAGCAATGACTGGTTGCCTTGGCAACGGAGCTCGGCTTTAACCACTTATGCTCTTTACGCCCTCGTCTGAACGGGGCCTAATTCTCTCCTAAATTCATTAAAACTTGTTTGACCAAATGTTCCAAATTAATTGAATTTGGAAATAAGTTAAAATTCATCATAAATTATCTGATGGCAGTTTCTACTATTTCTATTGTGATGCATATGCTGTATGTATGCGATTTTCTAACCAAGTGAATTTATTTTGATTGACATTCAAGGTCAGTCAGCTCTGCTGCAGACTGCATTCAGCTCCTATCTGTATATCTGAAGGAATTTTGTGGTAAAGAGGAGCAATCGGACAGTGTTGGCAGAAAATAATGGCTACAGAAGGGACAGTATGCTTAAGAAATGACTATATTTCTTTAAAAATATTTTACTGAAGTTAAAAAATATCAAAATTTGGGTGAGAAGTCTGTGAATCAAAAAGGAAAGCAGTTAATTATACTTAGAGCATAACTGGATCTTTAGTACTAGTTAGTTGCATAGATTGATGATTTTGGATAAGAGATTAAGGCGGTGGTTTCAAACTGTGTGCTGGGGAGCCATGGCCTTTTCACAGGGATGCTGCAAAATATTGTAAAAGCTTAATTATTAAACCAAGACATTGGGCCAAACAAAACAAGAAACAAATTGAGAAGCTAAAAATATCTGGACTTTTTTGTGTGTGCCTTGTTTTTGCTTGAACCTTTAATAAAAGTAAAGTTGCTGAGGCAGAATATTCTTGTGAATACGAGCTGGCAGCGCTGTGCCTTTTCAACCATGCCATATTTATCGCCCTATACATCAAAACAATCTAACTTGAGAACTCGCACAAAGCTAGAACCACCTTATCACGGTTTTTCACTGCTCATTCCATTAAAAAAAAAAAGTGAACTTTTCTTTATTTGTTGTTAGCTCATCATGTCGTTTGATTTGGGTTTGCGTGTACCAACTTTCAGAGATTGTTTTATCCCTGGAGTCAAAAATCCACCGTTTTCTTTCAGGTTGATTTCATGCAATTTATGCTTGTTACGGAAATACCAGTCAGCAGCAAAAGTAACAATTTTGTTACCAGATTTATTCAGAAAATGCTTGCATAATTTGACAAACACATTCATTACAATATCTTAGCAGAAATGTGTAGTAGTTTTGCAGCTTTGTTGAGGTTTTGAAACAGGATCTACAAAGTGAAAGCATATTTCGATGTCCATTAAACATAAAGTGGAATTGCTGCAAAAAATGGATAAATGTATATCCGTCTCAAAGTTATGCGAGGAGTATGGCATTGGAGAGTCAACTGTAAATGACATAAGAAAACAGAAAAAGGAACTTTTTTTAATTTTTATGGATTCTATATATTCTATTTTATGGACACCCTGCTCGCAACAAATAACAGAAAAATTAATCATTATGCTAAAAGAGACGATCATGACAAAGTGATTATTTAATGGGTAGGCAGCATTGCAGCGAGTGTGTACCGTTGAGGGGTCGCAAGCTAACAGCGCAAGCTAAAATATTTCACTAAGAAATGAACTTAAAAATTGGGTGCACATTGGTTGATAAAATTTAAAAATGGCCATGGTATAAAGCAATTAAGAATTTCAGGGGAAAAAAGCTTCAGCTGATACTGAAGTTGCTAATTGAGTGCACATTGATTGATAAAATTTAAAATGCCTATGGTATAAAGCAGTTAAGAATTTCAAGGAAAAAAGCTTCAGCTGATACTGAAGTTGCTGAACTATTTGCAGATGAATTCATTGAACTCTTTAATAGTTGAACTTTTATCTTCAAAACAGATTTACAATGCTGGTGAAACTGGTCTTTTCTGGCAATATGTACCGCAAAATAACTTGGCAACTTCTGTAGAAAAGGCTCCAACTCGTGTCAAAGATTCCAAAGCGAGACTAGCAATTTCAGCGTGCTCAAATAGTGGCAGGAACGCACAAATGTAAATGTGTCGTAATCAGGGAAAAATACATGACCTCTAGCATTTTAAGGAGTAAAAAGTTATATATCATGCAAATAAAAGAACACGGATGACACAAGTGTTAATGAATAATTGCTTTGAAAATCATTTCATACCCGAGGCTTGGCAGAATTCGGTTGGTTTACCAGATAAAGCAAAAATTGCCCTGACTGTAGACAACTGTTCGGCTCATACTTCAGTTAATACTTAAAGTTTTAGTGAAAAATAATGTATCCATATTATTCTTTACTCCAAATTGTACGTCAATCGTTTATCTTATGGATATCGGAACACTGTGCATGCGAGAATGTAAATATAAAGTAGAATTTTTAAAATTCGTGTTAAATTTTTTTAAATATTAGCAAAACTATTCTTGAATTTTTGAAATATTTTAGTGCAAAATCTGCTTTGTGGAGCATCGCTAGATCGTGAGAGAATGTGTCTCCAGGTACTTGTAAAAATGCTTGCCATAATTTATGGTCAGAAAAAAAGTTAAATTTAAAGCTTAAATTTTCCAATTGATGTATTTTTAAAGAAATATGGAGAAGCAATAATAAATGACGATGATTTAACATAAGTTTTTCATTGCAATGACAATGCCCCAATTATCAATGAATTAACGGAAGGCGAAATCTGTAGAATGGTTCTCGATCCAGAAAATACTGCTCCCAAGAAAGTGACTGAGAGGTTATAGAAAATGAAAAAATTTCGATTGACAAGTTAGTGGAAATTCTCGACACAGCAGTTATAGGACTTGAACAAGGGAACTTTGTAACTGAATAAGAAATTATGTCTATCTTTAGAATTAAAGAGAAAATATCAGCACAAAAAGCAACTTTAGCAACTTACATTGAAAATAATGTTTAATAAAGTTAAAAAATAAATATTAAACTTTTGTTTTGTAAATTTTGTTACCCTTCAGATCATAAATCATGATTTCATACTTTTAATCTTCTAATTTCTATATGTCATCGTACAAGCTTTAAACTGATGATCTAATATCCGGAATCACCGAAGTCCTGATGAGTTCGGATCTTGGACTTTGTACTGTACTAGTTTTAACCTTTTGCTTTATTGTTTATCCTTACATATAAAGCATGAGAACTTAGTACAGTACAAAGTCTCTAATCTGGAAATGCATTATCCGGAATGATCTATAATTCGTACCTCAAAGCCACAAACTTACACATGCCCGTAAAGTGTTTACGCATGCGCGTTTGATGCGTGCGTCCGCTAAAGCCAGTAAACCGTTTACCCATGCGCGCTTCCGATAGTGAAGAAAGTAACAGAGAATGCTATTGAAACTGAAAAAATTTCAATTGACAAGTTAGTCGGTATTCTCGACACAGCAATTACAGGACTTGAACAGTGGAACTTTATAACTGAACAAGAAATTATGTCTGTTTATAGAATTAAAGAGAAAGTATTAGCACAAAAAGCGAAGCAACTTATACAACTTACATTGATAGAAATGTTTAATAAAGTAAACAAATAAATATTAAGCTTTTTTTGTAAAATTTTGATACCCTTTAGATCATGATTGCTCTTTATTTCATAAATTACAGTTTCATACTTTTAATTATATTATTTCTGCATGCCATCTTATCAGATTTAAATTGATGATCTGGGAAACCCCTAATCTGGAATCGCCGAAGTCCCGAGGAGTCCAGATTACGGACATTGTACTGTATACCATTCTGCTGGCCAAGAGACATGCACTCTTTTACATTATGTACATATTATTCATTTCTAAGCAATGTGTTTTATATATGAAATATTGTATAAAGAATGATTTCTAATTTTCTTGGAAGTGCATCTGAAGCTTATGAATATAGAGGCATATTTTTTGTCATTAGACAAATTCTTTTTATCATTGGAGAAAAGAATTGCTTTAGGTTTGCTTTAAGAGGAGACAATGAATTATTAGGTATGTATAGAGTGTCCTAATATGTATAATAATAATAAAACCTTGTATGCTTAGTTTAATTCATCAAAATTTCTTTTTGATAAAAGTGTTTTCGAAAGAAAATGTTCAACATATCTCAGATATTAAAAAATCAATAAAATGGTTGTAATTATTAATGGTAATATTAATTAAATGGTTGTAATTACCAATAAAATGGTAGTATTTAAAGTCATTTAAATTCTATATCCAGAACAACTAAGATCTTCGAAAAAATTTTACATCATTGCGTATGTAATTAAGATAACTGGATTGTCCCACTTTTCATCGTTTCTTAATTAAATTGTATAACATTATCAATTTGATTTGATCTTATAAACTTCCATAGAATATTTATGTAATATTTACGTTGCATGTTTTTTTTAAGTGAGGGCCGTTTTGTTATATACATGAATACGTCTCACAATGGTGGCAACGACTGCTTGCGCCATGCTCTGACATTCCATGGAAACAACTGTGCTCAGTTGCAGCTGTGTAGGTAACCTGTAGAGTCGTTTTTGTGTCTTTAAAATGTTCAAGATTATCGAATTGCCCGTGCAAGGTTTATTCTGTGATACGTTTTTTGTCGGCACTCACCGAACCTGTCTACTGCAGACATTCACTGGCAGATTTGTGAAGTTTACGGAGCAACTGCCATGAGTGAAGCAAAGTGCGTAACTGAGTCAGAGATTTCAAAGCTGGCTGCGACAATGTCCCTGATGAATCCTGTTCCTGTCGCCCATCTGTGTTCACAGACGATATGATGGCTTCAGTTGAAGTGAAAATTCTTGAGAATGCTTCATCATAAGCACTCTTTCAAACGAACTTCCTGAAGTGGAAGCGTGTAGTCTAGAACGTGAAACCGGCCATGATCTCTTGGTTATCGAAGCAGGCGACAAGTTTCTTTGAAGAGGTTATTCAGTATCTAGTTCTAAGGTAGGATAAGTATTTAAACAAATTTGGCAACTTTGGATTTGAAAAATGGAGAAAATTTGAAAAATAGTATTTAGAATCTAAAAATAAATTTGGTTTTTAAAAATTTCCTTTCATTTGGTTTTATTTTTAAATGGCCCTTACTCAAAAAACACACCTTGTATTAACGATTTGTGATTTTTAATTTTTTTTTTTTTTTTTTTTTTTTTTTTTTTTTTTAGGTAGCTGTTCTTTTAATGGACACTCAGGGGGCATTTGATAGTTCTTCAACTGTCAAAGAATGTGCAACAGTATTTGCTTTAAGCACTATGATAAGCTCTATTCAGGTTAGGATATTTATTAATAGCTTTAAGATGAGTTTATTATTATTGTATTTAAAATGTGTGTATAATATATAATATAATATATATAATTTCTTATATTTCACACTAAAACATATGCAAAATTCTGTGTAGTATAGTTTAAACTGTCTCAAAATATTCAAGAGATCTTCACATTTAGAAGTATGTATAAAATATCTATAATATTGTTTCATAAGAACAAATTGAATTTAATTTTAAAAAATTAATTTAAATACATATTTAATTAAATATTCTTGCGCCATTGCTGCAAGGAATGAATTAAATTTAAACATCAAATTCTTACAAATACGTATAAAAGTAAAAAGCAAATTTAATTTGAAAAAGCCAAAATATTTAAAATAATTAAAAAAATGTGCAAACATTAAAAGATTTAATTCTAGAACTAATCTACAATATCATTTAAATTCAAGAATAAGCAAATCAAGTGCAAAATCTATCCATGAAAAATAAATCTACTAATTAATAAATTAAAATTAAATTAAACATTTTTTTTTAAAAATGATATGTGAATGACCATAGAGTAGGCAGGGACAGAGTCATAAGGGAAGTTGCTCCATACCTAACTCTCCAATCATTCAATTCGTGTTTCGTCACCATGCAGGCAAGGGTAAAAGTCAAAACCAAAAGTAATTCCATAAAGGGCTCCTAGAAACAACATTTAAGTAACATTTAAGAATAAAGTTCAAAAAATGAAATACCAATGAAGTCCCCTGAGTAACAAGCAAGCAAAGTCAAGAATTAAACTTTTTCTAAAAAATTAATTTTTTAAAAATAATTTTTTATAAATAATTTAAAAAATCTAGAAACCAATGTATTTTAGAATTCCCTTAAATTATTTTGGCTTTTTCCTTTTTTTAGAATTTAAATTTGCTTTTTTACTTTTATACGTATTTGTTAAGAATTTGAATTTGTTTAAATTTAAATATCTATAATACATATCTTGAGTGCTGATGATTTGAAAATATAACTGCATTGTTTTTATAAGGAGGTATGAGGTATTTTCTGCAAATACGTTGAGCTCCTTATCTCTCGTGTGTCAGTTCTTTGTTTGAGAGCAACGTTTGTGAGGGATGTGTTATTTTATTACAGAGTCTACAGATTGATATATGAAGACAAGAAACATGTGAATATTGCATGCTGTAAATCTAAATAGTAATACTTGAAATAAAGTTAAAAAATTTAATGCTAATTTAAATTACCCGGGTATAAAATGGAAGTTCTGCTAGTGAAGAGGTAACAGCAGGCTCAGCTCCAGTATTTCAGGTGACCTAAACAATCAGTGCAGTTGTGGTACCCTGTATAAATTAAACATATTAATAATTCATGTAAAACGTTTTATTTTTGTTTGTGAAAAGAGCTTGGATCTTTGTAGCTTGTGAGAACAGAGAACATCCTCTGATAAAGCCAGGGAGCAATTTGTAACACAGTTTCTGGAGAATTCAATTTTGGAGATGTTTTAAAGCTAAATGTGCATGCTGATTTCAAAACTGTAGTTTGTTTTCTTCCACCATGTTAAATTTTTTTCTCTGCATATTCGGTAAATATGACCACTCTCCGCGGCATTGAAATGAAACATGTGATGTACTTCAGCTCTCCTATTGCCCTACATAAACCTTTCAATTAGTGCTAGGTCAGTGACGCAGGAGACCAGCAACAGGTGCATACTTGTCTAGAGTAGTTCATTTAGGCTTAAGATACTTTAGTGAGATATTGCATGTCACTGTGATATAATGAAGTGTAGTCCAATGAGGAGTCCAAGTTCTGGCACATATATACAGAGTTAGCACTGTTTAGTTTTTATTTATATATGAACTGAAACCTTTCCATCTGTCTTCCTCTGCTAGTTCATGTTGTAAGTGCTTAAACAGCCTCGATTTGATTTGTTACATATGTGGTATTTCTTCCATTCCCAGCCAAAGAACAAACATCAGTACATTTGTCAGCCAGGCCGATTTTGCCTATTTTAAAGCAAAAAATAGTGATCAAGATAAATCATGGATTTCTCACAACGTTTGCAAGCAGTGTATATCAAGAATTTGGTTACTGGAAAAATGCCCGTAGGAAAAATGCTCACAGGTATAAATGCTCACAGGAAAAAAGCCCACATAGAAAAAAGCTCACATGGAAAGATACTCACTTAGAAATATGCTCGTATGGGAAAAAGCTCACATAGATATATGCTCACATGGAAATAAACCTACTGATAAATAAAATACGTAGAAATATCCTTACATTAAGCAATCAGTAATTAATTGATTTGAACATCATACACCTACTTGAACTTTTCAAAGAAAAATGATTTAAATTACCAAAACATCTATGGTATATATATCAAAAACTGTATAACTTATGTGTAGATTCAGTTGCTATATAAGATTAACAAATGGGCCATTTTGGATTATGAAAAGAAGAGAAGAAAGAAAGAAAAATTAAACAGAATATACAGTGAAAAAATATTATTATTTTAATTGTTAAAAAAATAAAATAGTCAATATCAGTTACACATTTTATAATATAAATATTTAGAAAAATAAGAAAATATAAATAAGTATTTTATTTAAATTACGTAAAATACCTTATTATATGTAAATCATAAATATAAATTTCAAAAAGTTATAAATACATAAAATTACTGAATGTAATATAATATGTAAATATATGTAATATCTAATTTATGCAAATAATATTTGTAAATATCTAATTTATGTAATAATATTTGTAAATATCTAATGTATGTAAATATCTAATTTTATCGAATTCATCGTAGTTGCTCTTACATGATTCGCAATTACCAAATGTAAGTTTTCATTTTTTTTTTTTTAAACTTCAGCACACCCTGTATTTACAATAGCTAGTAATAAACATTGACAGGCTAAATATTTTTTCAGTGTGTCAAATAAAAACCACATACTGAGATGGCTACAATTAAATAATGAATTTAGTACCTTATGAAAGTTTTCGCAACAATTTGTGGTTTTAGGAGGTTTTTTTGTAAGCTGCTTCATAATGATTCCTCACTTCGATTGGAAACTGTGGTCTTCTAGAACTTTTTTGTCTCCAAACCTAAATAACTACATTCAAACATCAATTACTGTAGATACACATCAAAAGTACACAAAAATAGAGTTAAAAAAAAAAAAAAAACTATTGGCATTTAAAAGAATAAAAATATCGCACAGGGGCAGTGGTATAAAAGCCCTTGAAAAGGTTAATGTGAACATTTGTCCAATAATTTTTTGATTAAATAATTTTTCTTTTATAAATTAAGTAGGTGTCCTTCCTTCTTTCCTTTTCGTGACCTAAAATGGTCCATTTGTTAATCTTATATAGCAACTGAATCTACACATAAGTTATACAGTTTTCGATATATATATATCATAGATGTTTTGGTAATTTAAATAATTTTTCTTCAAAAAATTCAAGTAGGTTCAGGATGTTCAAATCGATTAATTATTGATTGCTTAATGTAAGGATATTTCTACGTATTTTATTTATCAGTGGACTTATTTCCACGTGAGCTTTTTTCTATGTGGGCTTTTTTCCTGTGAGCATTTATACCTGTGAGCATTATTCCTGTGGGCTTTTTCCTAGAACCCAAGAATTTACGGATGTGGATGAAGGGAACATGTTCAGAATTTCCATTTGGTATATTTGTGATTTGGTGAGAGCCCAAAGATCACTCAAGTGATTGTTACTTTTGTGTAGTGAAAAATGTCAGGATATAACAAGGAAAAAAATGTGTAGAATAGAGTTTCCTAGTTTGTCATCAAAACTATATGCCCAGTGCAGAGTTGCCAATTCTCCCAATTTAGGCGGGAGACTCCCAATTTTCGACCGCTCTCCCGCCAACCCAATTTACAATATATTTCTCCCGACTTTTTCTTATTCTTAAAATTTCTCACGATTTTTAAGGAACTTGGCTTAATACTTCGTTATAGGAACCAAAAAAAAAAAAAAAAAAAGTGATTTTGGACATCTGAAAATAAGTGAATTTTCTCTAGATTATATCTAAAACAAAACCTTGCGAATCAGATGAGAATTTCTGCTTTGTGAGTGAGAGCATATGTATCCAGAAACGTCGTTCTCCAGTTCTCCAATGGGCATCGAGCTCCACTGAGTGTCATCTGGCATATATTAGAAAATAAGGACAAAGCAAGCTGTTATTTGGATGTTCTTTAGTTATTTTGTTTATTTTGTCCTGAGTTGTGTGAGTACACGTGCTTTCGGGAAATAGTTTTAGAAATTATTCTCTTTTGTTAAGTTTGTGAGAAAGGTGAAATACTCGTGTATGTTTCAAAAATCGTACAGACTTTCCTTCCATTATTTCCTCAAGCAAATGTAATAAATTTGCTATGTGTATCGCCTGTCATTGTGATTTTTCGATTTTGCATGGTGGAAGGGCAGATGTTTTCAAACATGTGCGTAGACAAAAACACAAAGACCAAATAAGTGTTTTTGAAGAAAAAGAGGGGAAAAAAAAAAAAAAAAAAAGAAGAAGAAGAAAAAGAAAAATTAAATTTTTCTTCTGAAACAAAGGCCTAAGAAATTATTAATTTATTTTGATTGGAGTACAAACTGCCACTGAATGCATTGGATCATGCTGCAGCTTTATTTAGAAAAATGTTTCCCGGTAGTGAAATCACTAAGAAATACTCAAGTGCAAGAACCAAAACAGGTGCAGTTGTTAAAGAAATGGGTTTGAAAAATAAATCTTCAGTTATTGATTGCAGCTCTGTTTTGCCTCTCTACGGATGGAAGCAATAATACCGATTCAAAACTGTATCCAATTGTTGTTTCTTTTTTTTAATCCAGAGTCTTCAGAAATTGAGTGCAGTTTACTTTCTGTCCCCACTTTAGAAGGACATTCGACAGGCTTTAATATAGCCCAGCTAATAATTAAAACTTTAAAAGAAAATGTAGTTCTTCAGGATAATTGCTTAGTACTTGGTGCCGATAATGCATCAGT